GTCTTCGTCCTCGTTCCGCCTCCCCTCACTGCGAAGAAGTCGCGACGGGAGATTCTGAATAGTTTTCGACCTCATGGTGCTTTTGCCAGGTCAGGGCCCGTTACATAACGACCCGGGAGGAACATCTGGTCCCGGGGAAGGGGTCTCGGCCTTTGGGGGTCCTCTTCCCTCGTAGGCGGACGAGCATATCCTGAGGGGGGGAAGCGGTTCCGGTTCCGCTACCCTTTCTTTTTTTTCGCCTTGGAGGGCCTCGTCGCCACGGTTTGATTAGTTTCAGGAAATTCTACGCAGAAAGCGCCCTTGGAGCGGTCCTGGGAGCAGCGGTATTTAATCGCTTCGCTCATTCCGCCGGCCCGTATTGTGCCATCGCAGGCGTTTGCTTGCGCGTTCGTGGCCTCTTGGAGCCTCGGTGGGGCCGTGTGGGGCCTCTTGGCGCCTCTTTTTAGGCCTCCTGGAGAACTCGGGAGGCCTCCAGGGGGCCTCCTGAGCTCTCGTGACGGTCTCTTGGGGGGCTTTCGGCGGGCTCTTGGCGGTATTTGTTGGTCCTCTTGGGGCCTGGGGCCTGACGTTGTTGGTCCTCTTGGGGCCTCACGGGAGCTTATTGGGGCGTCTTGGGGGTGTCTTGGAGAGTCTCTTGGGGCCTCTTTCGGGGTCCTGGGCGCCTTCTGGGGCGGAGGGCTCGATTTTGCAGTTCTCGGTTCCCTTCTTGAGCCCCTCTTGGGCCCGTCTTGGGGCCTCTTGGTCCGCCTTGGGCAGCACTTGGGCCGTCTGGGGGGCGCTCTTGGGCCGCTCCGGGGCCGTCTTGGGAGCCTCGTGGGCCGTCTTGGAGCAGTCTTGAAGGCCTCTTGGGCCCTCTTGGAGCGTCCGGAAGCGAAAAGGCCAGAACGCAAAAAAACATAGAAAAAACAATGAAAATCAACGATTTTGGCAACTTGGGGCCCTCTTCGGAGGCCTCTTGGAAGGCCCTTGGAGCGTCTTGGAGGCCTCTTGGGCTGTCTTGGGGCCATCTGGGGCGTCTTCGGGCGATCTTTGGCCGTCTCGGGCCTCTCTTGGACCGTCTAGAAAGCTTCTCGGGGCCCTCTTGGACCGATCTGGAGCCCTCTTGGACTCCGAAACAGAACTCCGGCATCTCTGACCCGACCTTGCCGGGACCTTGCCGGGGTACTTTTCGTCCAGGGACCCCCAGGGGCCGCCCCGCGCGCGCGAACTAGAAATACTGTTAACCAGGTACCGGAGATCTTAGCACGCCCTGGCCCGTTGGGCCGGCGAATTGGTGTCTTTGAGTTTCCCACCTCCTCCTCCCCTTCTCACGCCTCTTCCTCCACATTGGTCTCCCCTTGTGGGCCTGCGCCAGGTACCCCTTGCGGCTCTTCTGGCGCCGCGCCAGGGAGTGATTGTCTGGATCAGATCCACGAATCCGCACAGACTCCCGCAGTGTATCAGAGTCAGGGAGCCGAATGGTCATGCATTGCTCCTGGGTGCAAGGCTGAAGTGGGGATCCGTGGTGAGGATTCTGCTTGTTGCGTGTTGCGTTGTTGTTGGTTTGTTTGTTGTCGTCGTCCCACCCCGCGGCCCAACCCGCGACCCACTCCGCGACCCACCCCGCGACCCATCCGCGACCCAACCCGCGACCCATGCGCGACCCACCCCGCGACCCACCCGCGACCCGCCCCGCAGCCCAGCCGCGACCCATCCGCGACCCTCCCGCGACCCACTTGCGACCCATCCGCGACCCACCCTGCGACCCAGCCCGCGACCCAGCCGCGACCCAGCCGCGACCCAGCCGCGGCCCACCCGCGACTCAGCCGCGACCCACCCACATTGGCTTAACGGAAAAATCGGCGCATGCGGCGGGCTTGTTGTATAGTTTGTGGGAACTTTGGCGCCTGCGGCGGGCTTCTCCAGAGTCTCGCAGAGTGCCGACGTCCCCACCGTCCCCTCACTCCTATCCGCATCTGCGGGGTGCTAAGTATTCGTGCAGTTCGTTTGTCCGCTGCGCGAGTTCGCGTAGCAGGGCCGTCCCGAAAAAGCAAACATTTGGAGGTGCTTTGGGTGGTGCCTCTTGGTTTGGGGGTGTCTTTGGAAGCCTTCGGGGCCCGGGGTGTCTTCCAGCAACGGCGCCTCGCCGAGAGTTCTCTTGGGGCGGGGTGGGGCCAGATCGCCCCGATTGGCCGCCAGGGTCCCGAGTTATGGCCTGAAGCCAGATTTCGCTGCCTCTTTGGGGGAACACATACACCATAGGCGATGCTTAAGAAAACTTGAGTTTTCGCCCAGAGTCTCGATTATTCTTAACTTTTCAATGTCAATTCCAAGATGTTGATAGAAGTTCTGGGTTTTTTTCAAGTTCTGAGACTATGAATTTCTTAACCCATGATTTCTTAAGCATTTCGCGGGGTGTACTTCGCCAACTGAAGCACACTGGTCCAGATGGTTTTCGCCGTTTCGGGCCCTCCGAGAGTTCCCCCAGCCCCGGGGCTGTAAGAAAGCGTTTCAGGAAGCCCAGGTGTGCAGAACATGTTTCGCTCGGGATCATGTTTTCATGCCAGAGCATCATCATTTCTGTCTCGGCAGGCGGCGGACGTGGATCTATGATACATGGCCCTTGGGGCTGGGGGCAAGTGTATCCATATCCACCGCCTGCCGATGTCCACGAAGATCGATCTCAGAGGCAGCTCGAAGAAGAATCTGAAGAAGAAACAGTGACACCAATGTAACTTTCGGAGCTCCGAGAGCTTTTTTCTTGCTTTGCAACTGCTGCTTCTTCTTCTTCTTTGAGTGGTGCCTGCGGATATTTCCCCGCCTCGCGTGGAGGGGCCATCCAGCGCCGATCGAAGAGACCTGCTGGAAGCTGCGAAGCGGGGGGCCCGACGGGGGGTCCCAGCCTCGCCGGGGGGTCGCCGTTCGCCGTGCGGGGGGAGGGCGCGGAGGCATCCGCGGGAGGCCCCGAACCGGGTGTGCGGGGGGGGAGGGCCTTCGCCTCGCCACGTCGCCGCTCGCCGGGGGGGGGGGGGGGAGGCGCGACGACCACGGCTGCCGTCGCCGCGACGGGGTCAGGCGTGGGTCTGTCGGCGGGGGTGGGGAACAAAACGGCGGTGCTCTTTGTGATGAAAGGGAACACACACACACACACACACACACACACACACACACACGCACGCACGCAAACACGCACACACACACACACACACACACACACACACACACACACACACACACACACACACACACACTTTGTGAAACAAACGATGCACGTGGAACAAACAACACATGTGGAACACGAAGCACGCTTGGACAAGACGCACATGTGCGTGTTTGTTCCACACACATGGGTGTGCTCGCTCCAGACGCTCACACACTCACGTTGGACACAAACGACACCGTTGATTGCAATGTTGAAACACAGGTTGCATCAGAGGTGGCACAACATAGATTTCGCAACATCGATAGATTGCACAGCATAGATTGCACAACCTAGGTTGGAACACATAGGCTGCACCGCCCAGATGGTTCCATGCAAGTTGCACACCACACTGTTTGGAGCTCGTGCTGGCTAACATTTGCAGTTTGGGGGAAGAAATTCGAGGGTCCGGGTGGTCGCCAGCAGCTGCGCCTCGCCGAGGGCGTTCTGGATGGTGCCGGGATCGGCCTGCACGGCCGCTAGAGAGCCGAGTTGTGGCTCGAAGGCTACGGCACTGAGCAGAAATCCGGGCTGATTGTCGTTGGCCGTTTTCGGCCTCTGGGGTCCCTCGCCGAGCCCGGGGACCGCCAGAACGACTCAGGACGATCAGCTGGCCCTGGGGAACGGGTCGCAGCTTCCGGGGACGCCGCATTGACGAAAGCAAGGCATCGGACCTTGGGTACTGTGGAGACCCATGCAAAGAAACACCCTGCTTGCCTCCAGGGTGCCCTGGGTTTCTTGGGTTTCGATGGTTTTGCCATGGAAAGCACGACGTTCCCACAGCAAAAATCAATGGGCGTCCTGAGGTCTCAGGGTTGGGTTGCTTGTGGGGAGTTTCATTTGGTCGGGCCCCTACTGTGTCATGGAGCTCGGGGTGTGCCCCAGCGGAATGGGCTCGTGAGAGATGCGCCAGTCGCCCTCGCAGTTGGTGGTCTCTTGCCACGCGGGGAGGCGGCGCCGAGGCCGAGCTGCGAGCTCGGCGAACTGCCGCCCTGCCGCTGCGAACCTCCTGAAGTGCTTGAAGGCAAGTTGTGAGGGTGTGTGTGGCGGTGTAAATTGACAAAGTCCAGGGTTCGCCAGGAACTGGTTTCTTTTCAAGACGGCCGAAACCCTCCGAAACCCCTCCGGGAAGGGTTCCGGGAAAGTTCTCGGAGGGTTTCGGGAGGGTTTTAGAAGGGTTTTCGTCGCTTTGGGAGGACACCAGTCCCTAGCGAACCGTTGGCTTTCTCAGCTTGAGGCATCAGCCTTGGAAGGCTCCGCTCCCACCAAGCCTGGACAAGGTTGTTACCCAACCCTTGGAAAGGTTGTTCCCCACCCGTGGAAACGGAAAGGCCGAGCACTGGAGACGGAGAGGTCGAGCAGTGGAAATGGACACGGACGGGTATGTTGGGGTAGCTACATGGGAAGCGTGCTGGGTAGGATATTCGCGGCTGGGGCTCGTGGGTTATTCGAGTGTTTGGTGTTCGTTTTCGGTGGGGTTATCCATAAGAGGGCGGTGCGTTGCAATGGCGCAAGGGTTGTGGGCAGAAGCGGGAGGGGGGACGAGGAGAGGGATGGGAGGAGGAGTAGGAGAAGGAGCAGGAGGAACAGGAGCAGGACGGGTAGGAGGAGGAGGAGGAGGAGGAGGAGGAGGAGGAGGATGGGAGGGAGGAGGACGCGGAGGACAAGGAGGAGGGAGGATGACCGATTGACCGATCTACCGACGACGACGAAGACGACGACCCCCCCCCCAACAGCAGACGACGACGACGGCGACGCGCTCGCGGGCGGCTGGGAGAAAACATCGCGGACAAGAGGCGCAACCAAATTACCGCGTCCAAAC